TGCCAATAGCTGAGCCGTCTCCAGCGGGGTGCGACAGAAGCCACGTGACGCCTCTAAGGTCAGCAATAGAGCAATAGCCCCACTCGTGCCACCGAAAACCCAGCGCAGGAACCTGCGACGACGGTCTGGATCGGACCAAAAGCGAAGAAGTGGGGCGAGCAACATTTGGAGAGATTGGCGCAATTGCATTGTGAACGATACGAGGGAGAGGTTAACCATTGCAGCGGGCTAGTGCGCGGCTTGAAGAAGGTTGGGAAGTGGTTGGTCGTTGCGATTGATGGTGATCCGAACGGACGGTTGAAGTGTAGACGTGAGTCCTCGTTGTCATGATCTTGAAAGGGTGCAATAACTAAGTGTATCCATCTGTATCTTCAAAATATAAAATTTAAGAATTTAGAAAGACTGCTGTTTGCGCTGTTTACGGTGCGGTGAATATCAATGTTGACAGGTAAATGTTGAAGTATGCGATGCAGCTTGTTGTGCACTAGTCTAGAAACCTTGGGTCGGGAGCGATTTCCTCGACCTTGTTGCTTGTCTGCCAGACCATGAAGGACGATATTTGCTTGTCGATTCCGTCGAGCGCGAAATCCGTTGGGAAGTTTTTCTCGACTGTTGGCCATGTGCGGACAGTTCCAGTGCAGTTCCCGCCCGAGTAGAATGCGACGAGCGCGTGGTTGTCAGCGAAACTACCATTTTGCGGTAAGTCCCTCCACTGCGCGGACGACACCTTGTCGTCGAAGACTCCCATGTTGATGCAGAACTGCGACTTGCTGAAGTTGTAGATCCAGTGACCACCAGAGGTTCTGAAGTTCGTGTCCACGAAGAAGTGGACGAAATCGGCAGCTACAACAGCCAAACACAGCACCAGGAGTGTTAAGATACTCGTTATCTGAAATGCCATTGTTGCGAAATGGCCAGCCGAAAAATGACAGTGTCTTACTTCCGATGCGGTTGGCATTGTTAAAATGCACATGTCATCCAGGGGTTTCGAAATGAAGATCCAATGTTACCTCTGATGCTGTAAAATACCTTGCTCCTCAAACATCATCACCTATAGGAAATGAGCTCCAACCACCCTTATCGGAAGTTCAGAAACTCAAGAAGAGTCAGGATTCTCGCTTTTGTGTTGGGACTCAACGCGGCTCTCTTCCAACGACCAACTTCCTTAATACATGTATCGAAAACGAACAAGCTCGGCGTCGCAAAAGAAGCAGTCTGCACAATCGTACCAACTAGAAGTTGAGCCTCAAGTTGGGGCCCTCAACAGACAAACCAAGAAACTAGGGTCATCAATTGCATCAGTAAATACGACTACCGAATTTTGATATAGGGTAGCCCCCTCATTTTGCAGCTTTTGGTAAGCCCCCCACTTCCGGTTTTCTATAATAAGTGATGGGCGGTTTTGTTTGGTGCTGCCGCTTTAGGATAGCCCCCATGCTGGACTTTTGACCAATCCAAATTTTGTTTTTTAGTGGCTCACAAGCAAAAAGCATGCCAAGGGGGGTCGACGTCGTCGGGTGTGATCTAGCGGAAGGAGGACGAAGTTGTGTAGCGCATGAAGCATGCGGAAAACATGTGAAGGTGGGGGACGTGCTGCTGTTCCGCGAGGAGGTCGATGACCAAGGCGACAACAGGCTAGGATACTGCCTGAAGGCATACTTGATTCGTGACGGCTCACAGACCTGCCACGTCGGTTACCTGCCGCGCAGACTGCTTATCCAGCGTGCCGCATTTAACAGACAATTTGCTACTGTTGTTGAGGATCTAAGACACTCGGAGAACTCTCAAAAGCGCCGCCGGTCGGAGCGCAGTGGTGGTATTGTTAAATGCATAATGCTGAGTGAAATTGAGGAACAGTTTAGATCGTAATGCTATCTTGAATCTCGATTGATAACGCTTTACTGATGACATGTCGAGTTGAAACAGCAATATCAAGACCTCGGCGATGCAGAATCCAAACTGTAACCTCATCTTCAAGAGCTGGTGCGTGCAAGGGTCGACCGACCGAAATCGCTCGGGCTCGTGGGTTCCGCTTCACTGTCTCCTCTAAACGCTCTCTATTCTTGCGCCACTGCCGAATCTGAGATGGGTACACCTTGTGCATGCGAGCCGTGCCCTTGACTGTTCCTCTCTCGGCTTCTAGCAGAATTCTGAGCTTGTCCTTCACGGTTAAGCGGGTATCACGCCTTGGCATGCTTCTGAACTGGCTATTCTGCTAATGACAAAAGGAATGGAGCTCGTCTGTGTGTATCAGCCAATCAAATTGTACTCGGGCAAATTGAAGTGCCCTGTTAGGTAAGCCCCCTTTTGTAAAGTCAAAGAGGGGGCTACCCTTTACCAAAATTCGGTAGTTTGCGTTCACGTATTGCGCAGCGCAATACATACTAAATGTAGTAGTATGCGTTTGCGTGTCCTATTGTACGTCAAACAACTCCTCCCACTGATGACAACTTCGCAACTTCAGCACGCAATCTCGAACGTGCTACGCTTTTGCGGAGACCACACTAACGATACTGTACCAGCCCATACAGCACATTGGGAATGCGGCAACGACATCGTAGGCTGCTTTGCGCAAC